ATTTGTAATGTTTTACATAGCTATACCTGCAAAAGGGGCCAGCCTGAAGCGATCTAGCAGAACTTCACTTTCTGACTAAACGTCCACTTTAATGTTATGTTAGTTTTTCCAGGTGTGTTGCAATGTAATGTACGAATAGCAAATTTGTGCCTAGGACTGCCCACTCCTCCAGAATGACACCCAAGTGTCAGGGCATTTCGCTCCTCCCAAAAGCCATCCCAATGAGGGCTGAGGACTCTTGAGAAGGGCACTAAAAACAGGATGCTGTGAAGTTTTCAGGAAGCTGCTGGTATCTCCCAACAACCATGATCTGCATTGCAAAGAAAGGCACAGGAATCCAGTAATAACATCACAGTGTAAAAAATATATGTTATGAAAAGCAAAGGGTTTTATTTAAAAAAAAAAACATCATATTGATGGAGGTGGCAAAAGGAGAAACCAGGGAAGGCAAAATATAAGAAGAGTTATCTAAAGTTTTAATGAGATTAAAGTCAGCACTGAAAATTTTGTTAAAAATTTTCTTGGCAGCATACATTTTTCCTGCACAAAACTGTTCTTTCACATCTCTTGCACACAATGTCACTTACCTAGCATACGAATGTACAAGGCAGTTTGGTCAGAGCTGTCATAAGATATTGCCCCACGTCTCTGCAAGAAAAAAAAAAAAAAGCAGAAACATTTAGCTTACAAAGATAAAGGAAATAATAAAACAAACATTATATGATATGATATAATATATACAATATATAATAAAAATAATAAGAGCAAAAAACAAGACAAGACAAAAACGAGGAAGATTTATAAAAACTATGCTCTCCATTTTTCATATCAAGCAAGTTGAAACCCAGTTCAAAAAAAACAAAAAAAAAAACGCAAACTGTATGCATACACAGCTCTGTGTACATTTATGGCAACCCCTGTGTGGGGATTGTGCAGAGTGACATCATTGTGGCTCAGCCATTCAAGAAGCCAAACAGATTGAATCCAGAAAGAAGATCAGGAAAGGTTGAAAGCACCTATGACAGCAATGGGCAAACTACGGCCCGGCAGACCTTTTAATCCGACCCGCGGAGAACGTGAGGGGAGCTAGGCTCCTCTCACAGTCCGCCCTGAAGACCGGTGTAGCATGAAAATCTGTCTCCTATGAGGATCTGTCCCCCTCGACGTATCTGCGCATGTGCCAGAGATCGCCGATCAGCTGCTAATGCCGAAACTGGCACATGCGCAGATACGTCGAGGGGGACAGATCCTCATAGGAGACTATTTTCATGCTACACCGGAACGGCGTGGGAACACGGCGAACACGCGGAGGAATTGCGGGGGGGACTTGGGGACGGGGGATGGAATTAATAATGGTGGGATGAATTTACTATATGAGGGAGCAAAGGTAAATTACTATATTGACACAGGGGGGTAATGAATTGGGGACTTAATATGGGGGGATGAATTAATATGGGGAATGAATTACTATATGGGGGATGAATTACTATATGGGGGATGAATTACTACATGGGGGGGTGATGATTACTATAGGGGGGATGAAATACTATAGGGGGGATGAATTACTATGGGGGATGAATTACTATGGGGGATGATATTACTATATGAGGGATGAATTACTATGGGGATTAATTACTATGCTTACTATGGGGGAATTATTACTATACTTACTATGGATGACACATACACATCATTCATCTACTCTTGGTCCGGCCCCCGGGTCCAATATATGAACCCATTGCGGCCCTCAAGTCAAAAAGTTTGCCCACCCCTGACCTATGACCAGCAGGAGAGCACAGTATACTAGCACATTATGGCATAAAGCTCCTGCAGGCCCATTTAACTAAAAAGTACCAGCATTTAATTTCACTTGAAGTTTAGGGGTTGCAGAAGAGGCTGTTCCTTCCTTAACTCTCCACTCCAGCACTGTTCTCTTCCCAAAGCTTCGGTCTGTGGACAGATCCTCGGTGCAATTACATACAGTGCATGACTATTAACCCTGTATTGTGCACGTGGAGGCAGGAGTGCAACTGCAGCAGGTTGAAACTTATAGAAGAGGTTGCAGTGGACCCCTTGCACAGACCATGTAAGCGATACATCTTTTGCAACATCCTAGATTGAAACAATATTTAACCCTTGCAGTGTTAGGGTTAGGGGTTGTAATGCAAGGGTATATTTTGTAGCTTTAAGTCTCTTATTTGAAATACACAAAATCTGCAACTAACTAAATCTTCCATTACAATATGGAGTCTATATTGCTAAATTTCATTTTTCAGCAAGGAGCCACAGGAACCAGTCTTGTAGCCCCACAGCATAGGAAAAACATTTTATTGCCCAGAGATGGGCATTAAGATAATAATGATCAGGCTGAAGCTACAAATCATGAAACTGAATTCTTGGTGATTCGTATAATTATATACAACAAGCACAATGCTTATCATTGTATCTCAAGAAAGAAATTTTCCCTAACGTGTTTTCAAATGCTTTCAGCAAACATAAAGGCCAATGTAACCGATTCAGAATTTTGTAAACTAGGAGACCACCCTATTTATATTTTCTAGTGGTGCACCGAAATTAAAATTCTGGTGCCGAAACCAAAAATTCAAAATGCACTTGGCCGAAAACCGAAACTGAAATGCGCAGTTTTTAAAAATGAATATATATTTTAATTTTAAAAAATGCACTTTGATTAAGAAAACAAAAAAAACACAATACATACCCCAATTTTTTTGTAAAATATGAAAGAGGAAGTTACAGCGAGCAAATAGATACCCAAACATGTCAGACTTTAAAACTGCCGGCATGCTCATGGAATGGCGTCAAACTGCGGTACTTAAAAATCTCCATGAGGGATGCTTTAAAAAGGTCTACAGGTTAGCAGTGTAACGTTACAGAGAAGGTCTAGTGTTAGAATTACTGCTCTTGCTCCGACGTTCTTGGCGATACCTCATGTGTGGTTTGAACACCGTTTACATATGTGGCCGTGGCCTACGTATGTGTTCACCACTACGTGCAAGCACGGGGGGACAGGGGCACGTTAAACTTTTTTTTATTTTTTTTTTTTTTGCACTGTTCCTTTAAAAAAAAATTTTTATCGCTTTTATTCTTATCAAAAATGGATAACTTATCATAAGGAATTCATGCATGCCTTGTGATAGAAATATTTAGTGACAGGTCCTCTTTATGGAGAGACATGGGTTCAATAAGACCCCACAGCTCTCTGCAATGTAAAGCATTACATTAAAAAAAAGCATTGATCTAGTGCTTTAAAATAAATAATAAATGGTTCTGTACTGGAAGTGACAAAAGCTCCGGTCCTCCAAGGGCATAGAGATGAGTGGATGCCATCTTCCCTTCTCTATGCCCAGCACCGGGATTGTTCGATGGTTTGTCAGGTAAGGATGAGAACTATCGAGCGGCAGCCGATGGCAGCGGTGAGTTTTTTTCAACACCTGTACCGATGCTGTTTTTCCATATTGGCCAACGGCTGATAGGGGTGTCTTCAGCCGAAACGTTTCAGACACCGGAATTTCGGTGCACCCTTAGTATTTTCAGCACAAGAATTATCTATAGACAGTGAAGTAACTTGTGGATAACTTACAATATGGCTTTTTAGGATTGTGATTCTGTCTGTATGGTCTATATGTCTGAATGCAATTGCTGTTCTAAATGTGGCTTCATTATGCAAGAAAAGTCAATTCTAAAGGAATAGACAGGACAGAAAAGCATAACCAAGGCTGAAAATTTCCTGCTATGTGTGGACATCATTTTACACAGTACGGTGACAATCATGTTCTGAAGAGGGGGCAAGCACCAGAGTTAGACAATTGTGTCATTCAGGTATGCTTCACATTAGCTTATGCAGGTAGCTATATGTTGGCTAAACAACTAAACCGTATTGTGCCATCATATCTATTATACTGCAAAAAAGAAATATGCAAAAAAGGAGTCCTTTATTAATGCAGTATTACTGATATGTCGAAGAGTGGAATCAATTACATGACATAGCTGAACATGCTGTACAGTGTGATTTGTAGAGAGAAGATTGCTCATATAGCTATTTGTTTTTAAACGTCATCCACCCCCAACTCTCCACATCAGCCAACCTGAGTAAGCCTTGTATTTGCAATAATACAATGCTTCTCCTGAGTCACAGTAATATGGACTCTTTACATCCAGCAGCAGACAGCAAGTGTCTTGTTCAGCTGCTGGAACACAGATCCACTACTGTACATAGCATAAACTAAAAAGAACGATGCTGCTCTCAGGCACAGTGCTGGATCAAGATCAGGCAAGTATTTAGGGGGGGGGGGGGATAGGGCACTAATTTTGGGAACTTTTTAACCTTAATGCAGAGAATGCATTAAGGTAAAAAAAAAAATATTGGTAATTTTCCTCATTTTAACACTGCAAGTGCATCAGCTAATTAAGACCATGTTCACACTTGTGAATTTACTCCTGCAGTTACTTTCGCGGAGACATGTGGGTCAATGAAATTACATTATTCTCTATGGTGCCTGTTCACAACAATGCTGCGCACCGCAGTACTTTTATGAGAAGGTGCAGTGCAGCATGTTTTCGTCCCATAGGCTGCAATGGGAACACATGTACATGTGTTTTTAGCATGTTTTTTTTGCCAGAGTTTTGTATACTGCACTACCTGCAGTAAAGGATAAGTTCACCTTTTGGACAAAAATAATGAATGCACATTTTTTTGCAGGTAAATTAATTTATTAGTTTTGTCCAAAGGAGCCTGGAAAGTATTGCAATAGCGATCAGTAGATAGTGGTAGTTCATTGAAAACTACAAGGCTAAGGTTGTACGGACTTGTAGGCACTCATTCACAGAATTCTGTAATGAGTGATTTGTGGCCATGTGGGCGGAGCCCCGCACGGCCACGGCAGGCGCAGCTGCAGCTATGGGAACATGTTACATGCTTATCCTTTAACCGCCTCCCGTCCGACATATAAGGAAATGACGGGCGCAAGGCAGTTCTCTCGTTCCAATGTAAATAAGGAAATGGCGCTTATCGGCATTTCTCTCCTCACGAGCTGTCACCCTGACAGCTCGAGAGAGGAGAGACGGTAATCTGCATTCCTCAGAGGGGACATGTACACTGATCATCAGGGCACTGATGATCAGTGTGCCCTGATGATCAGTATAGCCCCAGCAGTGTCACCTGTCAGTGTCCATCAATGCCAGCTGTCAGTGATCATCAATGCCACCTGCCAGTGCCACATACCAGTGCACATCAAATGCCACATATCAGTGCCCATCTGAGCTGCCTTTCAGTGTGACCTATTAGTGCTGCAAATCAGTGCTGCCTAACAGTGCCACCTATCAGTGCCAGTCAGTGCCATATATGAGTGCTGCCTTTCAGTGACCATCAGTAATGCCTGTCAATGCCCATCAGTGCCACCTACCAGTGCTCCTCATCAGTGCCCATCAGTGCCACCTATCATTGCCCATCACTGTAGCCTCATTAGAGCACATCATGAAGGAGAAAAATCACTTATTTACAAAATTTTATAACAAAAACGAAGAAAAAAACATTTTTTTTTCAAAAATTTCAGTTGATTTTGGTTTGTTTAGCAAAAATAAAAAACCCAGAGGTGATTAAATACTACCAAAAGAAAGCTCTGTCTAAAAAAAAAAAATGATAAAAATGTCAAATGAGTACAGTGTTGCATGACCGTGCAATTGTCATTCAAAGTGTGACAGCGCTGAAAGCTGAAAATTGGCCTGGGCAGGAAAGGGGTATAATTGCCCTGTAGGCAAGTGGTTAAAGTAATTAAAACACACACACAACAACATGCAACTTGCATTACTGGTTCATCATCCCCCCAAATACTTATCTGAGCTCTCTCTCTCAATCCAGCACTGTACCTGTCAGCAGCAGCGCAGGTCACTCTCCCCCCTGATCTCATAGGACACAAAGGCAGCAGCAACTATCATTATGGAACTATAAAAAATAATACTAAGCTTCCTGGTGCCACATCTCAAAAATATAGAAAAAGAGAATCCAAGAGGAGGTAACTTTGATAAATACAGTGGGGATCGAAAGTTTGGGCACCCCAGCTAAAAATTTGTATTAATGTGCATAAAGAAGCCAAGGAAAGATGGAAAAATCTCCAAAAGGCATCAAATTACAGATTAGACGTTTCTTATAATATGTCAACAAAAGTTAGATTTTATTTCCATCATTTACACTTTCAAAATAACAGAAAACAAAAAAATGGCATCTGCAAAAGTTTGGGCACCCTGCAGAGTTAATATCTTGTACTGCCCCCTTTGGCAAGTATCACAGCTTGTAAACGCTTTTTGTAGCCAGCCAAGAGTCTTTCAATTCTTGTTTGAGGTATCTTTGCCCATTCTTCCTTACAAAAGTCTTCCAGTTCTTTGAGATTTCTGTGCTGTCTGTCACGCACTGCTCTTTTAAGGTCTATCCATAGATTTTCAATTATGTTGAGGTCAGGAGATTGTGAAGGCCATGGCAAAACCTTCAGTTTACGCCTCTTGATGTAATCCCCCGTGGATTTCGAGGTGTGTTTAGGATCATTATCCATTTGTAGAAGCCATCCTCTCTTTAACTTCAGCTTTTTCACAGATGGCATCAAGTTACCATCCACAATTTGCTGAAATTTTATTGAATCCATTTTTCCTTCTACTCGTGAGATGTTCCCTGTGCCACTAGCTGCAACACAACCCCAAAGCATGATTGATCCAACCCCATGCTTAACAGCTGGACAGAGGTTCTTTTCATTAAATTCTGTGCCCCTTCTTCTCCAAACGTACCTTTGCTCATTCCGGCCAAAAAGTTCAATTTTAACCTCATCGGTCCACAGAACTTGTTCCAAAATGCATCAGGCTTGTCTATATGTTCATTTGCAAAGTTCAAAACGATGATTTTTGTGGTGAGGACGTAGAAGAGGTTTTCTTCTGATGACTCTTCCATGAAGACCATATTTGTACAAGTATCTCTCTTTATAGTGGAATAGTGTACCACAACTCCAGTGTCTGCCAGATCTTTCTGGAGGGATCGTGCAGTCAAACGTGGGTTTTGAATTGTTTTTTCTCACAATCCTGCGAGCTGTTCTGTCTGATATTTTTCTTGGTCTTCCAGATCTTGCTTTAACTTCCACTGTTCCTGATGACTGCCATTTCTTAATTACATTCCGAACAGAGGATATTGACATCTGAAAACGCTTTGCTATCTTCTTATAGCCTTCTCCAGCTTTGTGAGCGTCAACTATTTTAAGTTTCAGTTTCTAGACAACTGCTTAGAAGAACCCATGGTGCTGATTGTTGGGGGCAAGGTCAGATGAGTCTGGGCATTTAAAACCTTTGAGATTTACATCATCTGGTCTTCCCAGACGATGATTGAGAACAATCCATGACACTGGCAGGTCTCAGCTTGCCAAAGGGGGCAGTGCATGCTATAAATTCTGCAGGGTGCCCAAACTTTTGCAGACGCCATTTTTTTGTTTTCTGTTATTTTGAAAGTGTAAATGATGGAAATAAAATCTAACTTTTGTTGACATATTAGAAGAATGTCTAATCTGTAATTTGATGCCTTTTGGAGATTTTTCCATCTTTCCTTGGCTTCTTTATGCACATTAATACAAATTTTTAGCTGGGGTGCCCAAACTTTCGATCCCCACTATATATCCTACAGCGAGGATAGCACCTGTGCTATTCCATCTCCTCCAGTGCAAGCACGCCTTTACACAGAAGTGACATGCATCTGACGTTACATAGTCTGGCTGAATAAAGACAAAAGTACACCCAGTTCAACCATAAAGAAGAAAAAAAAAAAAAAAGTTATAATCCTATACCCACAGTTGATCCAGAGGAAGGCAAAAAAAACTCAGCAAAGCATGATCCAATTTGCTCCTGCTGGGAAAAAGATTCCTTCCTGATCCCCCGAGAGGCAATCGGATATTCCCTGGATCAACTTTACCTATAAATGTTAGTATCCAGTTATATTCTCTGTATCTACGAAGGAATACAGGCCTTTTATTAAGCAATCCACTGAGCTGGCCAGAACCAACTCTTGAGGGAGTCTATTCCACATTTTCACAGCTCTCACTGTGAAGAAACCCCCTCCATGTTTGGAGATTACATTTCTTTTCCTCCAGACGTAAAGAGTCCTCTATGATGACCTCAGGGTGAATAGCTCTACACCGAGTTCACTATATGAACCACTGATGTATTTACACATGTTGATTATATCCCCCCTTAATCTCCTCTTCTCAAGACAGAATAAATTCAGTTCCCCTAATCTTTCCTCATAGCTGAGCTCCTCCATGCCTCTTATCAGTTTAGTTGCCCTTCTCTGTACTTTCTCTCCAGTTCCCCAATGTTCTTTTTGTGTATTGGTGCCCAAAACTGAACTGCATATTCCAGATTAGGTCTTTACTAATGATTTGTACAGGGGTAATATGATATCTCTCTCTCTGGAGTCTATATACCTCTTTTAATACAAGAGAGGATTTTGCTCGCTTTAGAAACTACAGCTTGGCATTGCATGCCATTATTAAGCTTGTGATCTATCAGAACTCCCAGATCCTTCTCCACCATTGATCCCCAGTTGTACTCCCCTAGTATGTATGATGCATGCATATTCTTAGCCCCCAAGTAACCTTACCTTTATCAACATTAAATCTCATTTGCCACATAGTTGCCCAATTAAACAGTGCATTGAAGACATCCTGTAAGGACGTTATTCCACTGCACAGCTTGGTGTCATCTGCAAAGACTGAAATGGGATTTTTAATATCCCAGACCCTATTATTGTTATATATAAATATATTAAAAAGTAAGGATCCCAACACTGAACCTTGGAGTACACCACTGACAACTCTAGACCATTCAGAGTATGAATCATTACATTAACCACTATTGGCGACTCTTTGAATACAAATCTTTTAGCAGTTTTTTTATCCATTTACATACAAGCCCTTTATAGACTTTACTTTGCACATTAGCATTGTGTGAGAAACTGTGTCAAATGCTTTTGCAAAATCCAAGTATACCATGTCCCCAGCATCCCTCTGTCCAAGGTTTTGCTCACCCCCTCTTAAAAGAAATGAGATTTGTTTTACAACTTCTGTCTTTCATGAAATCCATGCTGTCTGTTGCTTAACAAATTTTTTTTCCAGCAAGAACTCATCTATGTGGTCTTTTATTAAACTCTCCGGTATCTTCCCAACTATAGAAGTTAAACGAAACAGGTCTATAATTACTTGGTAAAGATTTTGACCCCCTTTTTAAATATTGGCACCACATTGGCCTTACGCCAATCCAGTGGTATTATGCTAGTCATTAAAAGAGTCCCTAAAAATTAGAAACAATGGCTTTGAAATGACAGATCTCAATTCTTTAAGGACCGGTGGGTGTATGCCATCTGTTCCAGGTTGCTTAGACATCACTTAGTGCAGCTACAATTATGGCGGACATAAGCCACGCCATCATGGCGACGGGCCGTGGTGTATCTTTACGAGGCGGCTGTGATCAGCGCGGTGGGGGCACTTGTTTGTGGCATTCGGCGATAGACTATAGGTATGAGCTGCAGCTTTCCGTACCACATTGTGGATGTAGGCATATATCATACTGGCTAGATTACTGGGAGAGATATATGGCTTTCAATGCAGTACTCTATGGTCTTTTATTACTTTTTTTATAGGGACTTTCCATGGGGATCAGGTGCAAGTTTATACTGTCCCATTAGCTGGATTAACTCATAACGTTTTTATGAAGGAGGTGGAGTATTTACATTGAGTGTTATGTATAGTGAGTTATTTCATCTTATAAGCTATAAGACTATCTCTGAATGTATTGTTCTGTTTGTGGTACTATAGGTGGTATCTCTAAAACACACATTGTGCGTTGGGTCCCTGTTAGGTTTGTCCAGTTCGAGACTTCATGTACTGGAGAATATCATTTGAGTCTCCTATGTCCCCCCCCCCAGACTAGTTATCACTGGCTGCCGCTTCCTAATGTAAGCCCAATGATTGTCTACATAATTACATGCATATATTATGTTGCTTTATGTAATTGATTGTGTACATACTCTTTGCTTTTTTGTATTTTATTTATAGTAGTACTGCTTCCCTTTACGTAGATGTCACGGTCCTGAAGAAGCCACATGCACAGGCGAAACGCGCTGACCGTTTCTTATCGTAGGGCTATACTCTTTTGGAAGAACAATTTGTCCACTAGGTGATATGTACTACTCAATATGTAAAGGGCTATGTCAGGCATTATTTCCCGCTTTTTTGTTAGGGGGTTTTGCATTTCTAGTTTTATTCTGTTTGTTATCATTTTATGTTTAATAAATTGTTATGT